GACATATATATGTATATTGTATTCCATGTATATTAATTTACTTTCCATTATAAGTTTATCGAGGAATTTAAGAACGAAATAATAGATCAGACCTAGTGCATGATATAGAAATAGTTGAAAAAAATAAGGGCACATGCACATAATGTATCCGTAAACGACACACTTACTAAAATAGAAAGAATGTTATTAATTATAAATATTTATGATAAAAGAATAAGTGCGAGCAATTAAATATGTGGGGGTATATATATTTTATATTACATGCATACTCTGTATATATGAGAAGAATATCTAGAAATGGGGGGTATATAAGAATAAATATAACATTTCCTCAAGAAACGTTATATTTATAACTCATCCATTTAACTTTTTATTTTTATAGTTTCACATAACTACACAAGTCTTGTTTTGGAAATAAAAAATGTTATGCCTCTTTTTAAACATTGTCTATGTTTATTGATATTTTAAATATTATGTTTACTGATATTTTAATTATTTTCCTTATATAATATTGTATTAGTGTGTGAAAAATACGAAATAAAGATGAGTATATGTTTGTTTGGGCATGCACTATATGCGTACAATTTAAAAGAAGGCAATCAATTGATAAGTGATGATTCAATTTAATACAAAAATAGGCGATTGTAATCTTTAGCGGATGGTGATAAAACTTAATATGTAGAGTAATTATGTGTTATTGAGTGGCTATTTAATTATATTTTTTCTATAAATGATTTGAGTACTATTTTGAAAATAACCTTACTAATCATAGATCTTTTCATTGAAATAAATTAATACTATGTGTTGGGATTAAGTTCTCATGCTCCAAAGGCCCAACACGCTCCTCCATAATTTCAAATGATCTTTTATATGGAGAGTACTTTAGATGTATTTAAATTCGTGTATGACTAACAAACAATAAATGGCACAAGTCAATACAAGAAATAAAAGGTAAAATGCACCATGTTCTATTAAACGGACTTAGAATGATTACAACACACTCTTATCGAGCTGAGTCCCGAATCTCTATTCTAAGTTGAGAGTTACAAAAGAAAGTAGAGAGAGAATCTAAGTTATTAAATGCATGTTTTTGTTGAAAAAATGTGTTAAAAATTGCATCGAACGGTCATTTTGGGGTAATTATTTGAGTGGGGTCCACTTCCGATTTGGAACGGGTCAAAGTGGTTTCGGATTGTCCTTGTTAAGGGCTACAATTCAATATATGGTACGCTCAAAATGGATAACAGGTGAATGAGAAATTGATTCTCGAAGTTCACTCGTTGAAATACAAAAATAGGGAAAATGATGGGTTTCTAGTTTGTTTTATACCACACCGGAAAACTCAAGGGATTTTCACCCCCTTATAAAGGGAAGCGTCTTGTAAGGAGTTAAGATTCCTAAAGGTAAAGGCTCTCTCTTATGCGGGGGGAGGGGGGTGCCGATTAAATCCCGAAAACGGAAAAAGAAAAACCGCGACTCTTGTGCGCGGGCGACCTGCGGACATGAATGGTGTCCGAAAGTCTATCATATCATTCAAAGATACGACTTAATTTTTAGTTCTTCCCGTAACGTTTTATTTTTTCCCAGAACTGCTCTGCCTTCTGTTGTCTTCCGGACCAGAGAACCTGAGAGGCTTTTTGTTGGACCAGAGAACCTGAGAGGCTTTCTGATGGACCAGAGAACCTGAGAGGCTTTCTGTTGGACCAGAAGACCTGAGGGTTTCTGTTGGCTTCCGGACAGAATACCTCGAGGTGTTCTGGTGGGGGTATTTTGGTCGCGCACCAGAACTGCTCCAAGCCGTTACAACAATAAATGCCCAACGTTCTTGTTTTTTAATGCAACGTTAAATGGATAGTTTATGGATGATTCAATGCCCAACGGACTGGTCATTGATGTTCAAGTTTCTGGTCCATTAACACTCCATTTAACACACAACAAATCCTCCTATAAATACCTGGGAGGTGGTTTGCAACAATAAACATACAATACATTCCAGGAAACTATAAATTTTACAAATTTCATACGAATGTGATAATCAAAATCGTTGTCCAAAGATAATAATAATTGATTAAGAAAAGATTGTTCTGTACAATTATCGACAATGGAAGCCAGATAATCACCATTAATTAGAATATTAAAATCTCACATTTAGCAATACGTGAGCTAATATCAGCAATACTCTCAAAATTAGGAATTGAATGACCACAGATTCAACTTCTTTTTTATATTCAAGTATACAAAATTATAGGTTAAAACGAATTTAATGAAAAAAGGTACATATCATGTACTCCATCCGTCCCGAAAAGGTTGGCCAAATTTCCTTTTTTTGGATGTCCCAAAAAGATTTGTCATTTCCATTTAAAGTAAGGAATATGTGGCTAAAATTAATTCTCTCATCTGCACAAATTTCAACCACACAATTTTTACTTTATTAATCCACGTGAAAGTCAACTTTGACCAACCTTTTCGGAACGGAGGGAGCAATATTTTGTCAATGAAGCTCTACATGAGTTTTATAACTTTAATGCATCTCTCCAACTAGATAAAAGCGATTTAAAACGTAACAGATATGATGGAGTTTTGTGAGATGGAAATATAATATAAAAGTCTTAGAAGTATATTATATATGAAACAACAACAAAAGTAAAATTGTATTATATATTACAAGGAACTAGCAAGTAAGATATTCATATACCTCTTTGACAAGGCGGAAATAGGTTTTGAAGTGAGGATTGGAGAAGAATCACCATTAGCAATCCTCTGAATGTAAGGCTCCAAATCTTTGTGAACGACCAGAGGAACACAGTCCTTGAAGCTCTTAGGGTCTGTTCTTCCATTAAGTCCACATTTTTGCCATAGATATTCAGTCTCCTTGTTCTCTTCAAGAATCCTCCTTAGAATATCCCCTTGTCAACAACTCAAAATCCTCAATCATCTCTTCCTGATTAAACAAGTTGTCCTCTTTCAACACAGGCATCTTCTATATATGTGAAATTGAACTTGGTCGAATAATGCCTAACAAAATTATGAACTGATGGGAAATATATACAAAATGACACACACACACAAACACACACAGATATATATATATATATATATATATATATATATGTGTGTGTGTGTGTGTGTGTGTGTGTGTGTGTGTGTGTGTGTGTGTGTGTCATTTTGTGTGTCTTGTATTCTATGTATATTAATTTCCTTTCCATATAAGTTTATCGAGGAATTTAAGAACGAAATAATAGATCAGACCTAGTGCATGATATAGAAATAGTTGAAAAAATAAGGGTACATGCACATAATGTATCCGTAAACGACACACTTACTGAAATAGAAAAAGTGTTATTAATTATAAATATTTATGATAAAATAATAAGTGTGAGCAATTAAATATGTGGGGGTACATATATTTTATATTACATGCATACTCTATATATATGAGAAGAATATCTAGAAATAGGGGTATATAAGAATAAATATAGCATTTCCTCAAGAAATAAATGTCATAGTTCTCTTCTCAAAATATAACTTGTCCATTTAACTTTGTATTTTTATAGTTTCACATAACTACATAAGTCTTTGTTTTGGAAATAAAAAATGTTTTACCTCTTTTAAAACGTTGTCTATGCTTATTGATATTTTAAATACCATGTTTACTGATATTTTAAATATTTTTCTTATATAATATTGCATTAGTGTGTAAAAAATATGAAATAAAGATGAGTACATCTTTATTAGGGCATGCACTATATGAGCAAAATTTGAAAGAAGGCAACCGATTAATAAGTGATGATTCAATTTATTACAAAAATAGGCGATTGTAATCTTTAGCGGATAGTGATAAAATTTAATATGTAGAGTAATTATGTGTTATTGAGTGGCTATTTAATTATATTTTTTCTATAAATGTGTTTTAGTACTATCATTGAAATAAATTAATACTATGTGTTGGGATTAAGAGAAGAGAGGAGAAGGTGACTAGCTAGGTTTTGCTCCCCATCTCCGCTACTTGAGAGTTATATTTTTGGTTGTTTGCTAGAGAGTGAATTGGTCTGCACTGAATTAAAAGATGAATGTTCAAAATTTTAAATGTAAATTGGCGTAAACAGGTACAGAATATGTTTTTTTCTTAAGTACATACACTATACTTTTTCCTAATATTATAGTATGAAAATACAATTTTAGAATATAGTATATTTAATTCTACCTAGTGAAAAACATACTACCCATGTTTAGTAAAGTCACATTTTTCTCTGATGTTAAAGAATTTACAAATTTTAAAATTCATTGAACTATCTAATGACCACGGGCGGAGCTAGAGCACTAGGCTGGACTGGGCCAGTACAAAGAATATATTTGGGAAAGAATTTACACAAAATTTTTTACACTAAAAATATGAACATTTTTTTAATTTAGGTTGGGTCAGAGCCAGGATTGGCTGGCTCCGCCCCTGCTAATGACCTATGTGAAAAACATACTACCGATACTTAGTGAAAAACATACTAGTCATGACTAACATATGTGCTCCAACTATGACTAGGAGTGGACTCGGGCCGGTTCGGGCCCGGTTCGGGCCTGGGCCCGGCCGGGCCTCGGTTCAAGAAGGGGAGGCCCGGAACCGGCCCGGGTAACCCCCGGGTCCGGGCCGGGCCGGGCCGGGCCGGGCCTCGGGTATATTTCTTTTTTGGGCTTTTCCTAGTTAACCCCCACCCCTCCCCCTCACCCCCAAACCAACCCTAACCACCTCAAATGGCCCAAAATAACCAGCCCAACCCAAAAACTCAAAAAAAATTCAAAAAAAAAATTAAAATTGGCCCGGCCCGGGCCCGAACCGCCCAACGAACCGGTTCCCGGGCCGGTCCGGGCCCGCACAGTGGCGGGCCGGTCCGGTTCCGGGCCGGTTGGCCCGGCCCGAGTCCACCCCTAACTATGACCAACATAGGTCATTAGGTCAGTTCATATAGCATGCTCCCACAGTACCGTGCGAACACTCTTTCTCGTTAGTGGTGTAATAGTAATAATATTTTAAAATAAGAAAACAATAATCACGATCTAGTTATAAGTCAAGTGAACCACACTGAGTCAATCACTCACATAAGAGCAATATGTATTATTGATTTCTACGGATGCTTGTAAGATCATCATGATTGGTTCAGACTTACATCAATTACCTTGTTTTGAGATACTCTGAACATTCCAATAATGAACTCACAAGTCACAACACCACCCATCAAGATTTGTTCAGTGGCACTAGCATCTCAAACTCACCAATCTAAGCGACAAGCCCTAACTTTTCCACATAACAGCCAGCCACCAACCTCGCATTTGCCTCTGCCGCCATATTCAAAAATAGCTCACTCACCCATATCCGGGCTGAAGTTGTCACCGTTATCCCAAGCGCACACCCAATTGACAGAAATGCCAACATCAATGCCATCAACAATGCTTTATCCGCGGCAAACGAAGACATGCATCCAACCCTTTGAACCTCATGCACGCTGAAGCCAAAAAATTGAGAAACAAGGGGTTCCAGCCTTCCAGGGAAGAAGATATGGGAGTCTACAGACAGGGAGATTTCACGGTAGGTTTTCAAGGATATGTGAGGGTACAGAAGGGGCATCACATTAAAGGATAGATTTACTCAAAGAAGGTGGGAAAAGATGATATTGCTTTTAATTTTAAATCATGTCATAAATATAAGGAAGCAATGGTGATTAAGCGTGGACAAAGAAAGAAATTATACATTTCAGGATGATGTTCTTCCTAAATGACAAAAACACAATGATCAGAGAGAGATAAAACTCATATACTCATATTATCATGTTCAGCCCTAATTTTGTCGAATCAATGCTACAACCAAAAAATCAACATTCAATCCTTAATCCCAAAAGAAATAATCATTGCAATCCCTTTTAAACGTTAATATTTCTACAAATTGTTCATCGACCTTGAGTATGCATTAATGTCCTTTGCTTGTTTTTTCTGTACAAGGTTGGTTGATCCTGAATTCTATTTTAATATTCTTAAAAACGTTAGATAGCAATATAATGGTAGATAAAGGAGAGCTTTTACATTGTTCTGCTTGTCAAATCTTACCATATTCTCCCACAATTGCGTCCACCTCTCGGTTCATCTCTCTCTCCAAGTCAATTGCCGCAGACCTGAAATCAGAGGTAGGGACTCCATTGAAGAAGCAAGGGTTGCAAATACTTCAATGGTAACATGGTAAACTGTTTGGTGAAGTGAATGACACCGGATTCTGAACCCAAGCATGACACTCAACTACTCAAGTATCAGATTGACTTCTCAGTGTCATGGAGAATCATCACAAAACCTCTGAGATTTTCAGACCGCTGCAGTATGACTTCCGGCAAAGGATTGGTGGAGAAGAGTCAAATCCAGATCATTCTTATGCTTGTCCCAAGCTACTTCAAACTGTACACCCTTGCATCTTTGGAGACAAGTGGGCAGAAAGAAAATAAACAAAAGGAAAAAATTAAAAAAAGGTATGTGTCCCATAATATGGGTGGCAAAACATTAATATCATATAGATGTTGGAAGAGAGCATAGAGATTCAAAATACGTACTGCTGCAGCAATATAAGTGTCTCAAGAATAAGTGATCTGATATCATCATGAAGAGATCTCATTGCTGCTTCCTTGTATAAACTGACAAGTTCATCCACCAATCTGCAGGCACGTGCAGGTCAATCAATGTATAAGGGAGGAAATCTTAAAACGTTACTTGGTAGGAGTAATAAATTTGAGAAGGAAACCCACTTTAAGCAAAAAGAACAGCTTATATGCCAGCATAAATGTTCAAGTGATATATTGGGGAATTTCCCATTTAGTATAAAAGAATAATAGTCATGTATTCCCTGAGTTGCAATATCCCAGTAGTCTTTTATACTACCTGCGTCCTTTAAAGAACTTCTCACTTTACTTTTATGGATGTCCCTAAATAGCCATTTTCCCTCATTTAAAATTTCTATCAATTTATGATAGGAATATGGCTTAGTAGGCTAATAATAAGAAATAATAATAATAGTAGGGTACATTTAGTAGTATAAATAGAAGGGAAGGGCTGTTAAGTAAATAGCTATTAGTTGGTTATATGCTTTTATCCCTGCGTGGATACTTTTACTATAAATAGTAGGCCAATAGCTAATTAAGGCAGGCTGTTATTTGATTTGAGTGTTGTCTCGGAGAGTGGGCTTCTCGAACAGTCCCGGTTGCCTTGTTGCCTTTGAGATATTTCTTATCAATAAACATCAACTTCCCTAAATTCCTTATCAGATTTGTGGTGCTAGTTTACTGGTTTTTCACTTGGATTATTACCAGCTCTAACAATTTACTCTACTACCCTTAAAATAATAATGACCTCACGGTGCCAAACAGTGTACTATATGGTAAAATTTACCCCTCGGTAAAAAGAGCATTTCAGGAAGTCAACTGGAAAAAAATAATAGTTTCAGATTTTGCCAGTTCTAAGTTGTCATTAAAGGGACGGAGGGAGTATTAGAATATAACTTTCAATTTTTGCTTTCTATGGTTAATACATGGCGCTCCAGATTTTGCCAGTTCTAAGTTGTCTTTTCTTAAAATGATAGTTTTTGTACTGAAAGAACATTGTTTGATTTATACAGTAGTTTATATTGCACAACAATAAGTAAATTATAGATACATATTACATGGAGTTGTGGCATAATTCAAGCTGTTTTCCTATTTTGGAGATCCTTGAGTTATTCAATATTTTTAGGTCCTTTGATTCATAATCTTTTGGTGTTTGCTCATGTTCAGTTGGAATCAATCTTTGCAATGCTTAGATAATAGGAAATATATGTTAAAACCGTGTTAGATACTTAGTTCGAAAAAACTAAGCAACCACATAAAAACTATTCAATTAAAGGCTAGGCAAAACTCTACAATGCGCCTAGTGAGGTTCAGCTTTATAAAAGTCAGACCAATAATTACTACTCTATCCATCTCTTAAAACTTTACCAACTTTCCTTTTTGGTTGTCCCACTAACTTTGCCACTTTCCTTTTAAGTAAAGAATTTGTGGTTCCACTTAATTCTCTCATCTGGACAAACCTCAACCACACAGTTTTTACTTTATTAATCCCCGTGCCAGTCAAACTTGGCCATGTTTTATCGGGCGGAGGGAGTATTTTTTTAAAGTTGTCGGAGTTCATACTGAAGCGCCACTTCCACAAAGGGCTCGTGGCTAGATTGAAAGTAAAGTAGAATATGTAATTTACAAATCATCAAATTCCAATTACTTAAGCTATCCATTCAGCATTGATGCTCCAAGCCTTCACCATGAACTCATCAAGTCATACTATATTACCAAACTATCAACATCCCAAACTAGAGCTTAAATACAAAATGGTCTACTTGTCCAGAGAATAAATATTGGGTAATGCTTCATACAAAAAATTATGATTTTTTTAGTTGTTTATGCCTCTATGTAACATGGCAATAACGTATATAACTGCAATTGATTTATTGTGATAATAACTCAGAGGTATTAATAACCTGTCAATGTATGGCGAATTCCTTATCCATGTCAATCTCAGAACTGTTTTTGTACGCTCCAGTACCTAAAGCTAAGGACCAAAATTAGCACCTATGTATACCCATCAATACCCAGATGTATAGTATGTCCATACCTTGCTAGTTTTATAATTACTTTTCACAGAAATTGCCTTAAATAGGTGTAAAAAGTAAAAAACAGTTTAAAATTCCAAAGTACGAGTACAACATTTTTTCACTAAATTTGAGTAATTATCGTCATGCTCAGAAACGTTATTGTATTCCTATTTTGGAATTTCACATTGTTTTTATACCTATTTTGAGAAGTTTCTGTACTTTTATTTGTATTATGTTCTGTTTGGATAAAGGGTTTTAGAGTGTCTTTTGGGGGTGGGAGGAGGGCATAGTCAAGATCTTGATAAATAGAATGCTTCCAAAAACGAATAAAAAGTTATTCGATCTTTCAATCTTTATAAAATCTCAAATACGAAATACTAACCTCTGTTTTTTCTAGTTGCAAGCACTGACTTTCATGTTAATTATGCATTAGTAAAGTTCAAAATATTGTATTTATAACTTTTACATGGTGATAAATTCAATAACATTTTATATAACATGCTTTGTAGAAACAACAGAGGTTAGTATTTATAAATTTTACATGGTGATAAATTAAATAACATTTTATATAACATGATTTGTTTGTATGCATAAGTAAAAAATATCAAAGTAACACGGGTAAATAGCGCAAAAGCAAATTGCTTGTGATTAAAAGCGGAAGAAGTATAGATCAAGATATAGACAAAGCACTCCAAAACCATTCCCTGTACCCCCCCCCCCCCCCCCCCCCTCAAAACTCCTCCCTCCAAACAACCTTATGGTATAACTAACCTGGCATGGCCTTCATGAAAAGGGATCATTCCTAATTACCATTGTACAAATAAATGCAATGACGTCTTACCAATAGAACTGTGTCATCATCATCGGCATGCATCAATTGAAAGAACAGAGGAAAAAGGCGCCTAAAATGAGATAGCAGTACAAGCCCAGCACCATCAAACAGTGAATCAACATGTGTAAGCCATGCTATGCGGCGCTCCTTATTCTTAGGTTGTCTTTCCAGGTGACTCAACATCTCATTCAGCAGCTTTTCATACCTTTATACAACACAAAAGTTAAGTAAGATACAATATGGCAAACTTTGAATTAACTAATCCACCATGATATTATGAGTAACATCTGCAATATGAAAATGTCTACACTGTAACATTGGTACAAATAGCAAAGTGTATTCGAATAGCGCATGCTATGCACAAATCCATTACCATATGCTCCGTGGATTACTTTTCTGGGTGGAAGTTAACATGAGCACTGACATTTCAACAACATATTGCCATATTTCATCATCTGAACAAACAATGTTTTGGCAGCAGGCATCAAGAATTACGTCTTCATACCAACCAATCTCAGAAGCATTCGCATTTTTAGAGAGATGTATGAAGCTAATCATGTCCTGCCCCTGGAACAAAAAGTTGATACAAATCATATTGAATAACAGTGTGTGAAAGCATGTGTCTACACCTAGTTCTGTTGCTGTCTTTTACAGTGTTTTACACCATCTAATCTAATACATGATATTAAACCATTAAATCTCTAAATATTGGAGTAGAATTGTATATTAAAAAGACTTCTACGAAATAAAAGAAATTGCAAATAGCACTTTTACTTGCTGTGACCAGTGATCAAGAGCCGTCAGTCCACAAGGAATCACCAAAGAGCACAACTTCCCCAGAAATGGATAGTTCACCTATAGCCCGTAAACATTTCCACATGTTTTTAAACAAATCCAAAAACTAAACACGAAAACTGGAAACAAGCAGCCAAAACAACTCAAATGGCAATGACACATAATAAAAGCATAATATATTTCCAAAAGAAAAGAAAAGCATAATATCATCAAATATCAGAGTAACGAACCTGGGTAACAATCCATTTGAGTTGGTGAGCAGCAAGAATTGCATAAGCTACAGGAGTTCTTGCGCTAGCAGCAAAAAAACTCATCAGTGTCAATAGACTTGTCAATGGCACTTTCCTTTATTTTATTCTTAAGCAAAGGCAAAACCTGAGGCATTAACTCAACCTGTAACCTCACGTCACTCGACATAAATTTCAATTCAAACTCCAATTCGCCAACTTTCATACAGTTTTTCGGGCGCAGAAAGGTCGAGTAAGCTTCAGAGAGCTGCTTGAAGGCCGAGACAGCGGCCTCGGAGAGAGAATCGGGGATCCACAAGAGCTCCCCGTAAGTGGACTCCGAGGCGGCAGCCAACGCTGCACAGCATAACGTGAAGTCACTTATTTTGGCACAGACTTCGACTTCGGAGATCTCGGAGAGAGAAGGAGAGCCTCGATTGGGAAGAAGGGATTCGACAGTGGATTTGATGTTGACATTGGAAGATTCCGGCGGGGTGTAAGTCACTCGAGAGAGAGAATCTCCGATTCGTTCGGATAATCTACCACGGATAAAATAAGTAGGAGGTTAGATGCCGAAATGGGATTGAGAAAGAGCTAGGCAGTATTATACTGTATGAGCTTACAGTAGGAGGTGGTCGAGAAGGAGCCGAAGGGAATCCGACATTGTTGGCCTTGTTTATATTTCTTCTATCGCTGGTTACGAACTTGTGTTGGAAACTTGTAAATGTGTTTATATTTACCATATTTAATATTTAAGCGGTTACAATTCATTCTTACTTTATCAATTTAATATCAATCGCACAATTCCGTTTTTTCTTAAAAATTGTGTCACACTCCTCTGTTCTAAACATAGTGGGCCAGAGGTAGTACAAAACAACAACCAACCATTATGTTTATCGTCTATTCAAAACTTTTCTCTCGACATTATCCTATACTTAAAAGCACTACGTGCTAAGGAAAAAATTTTCCCGCCTATGCCTAATTTCACTTATCCGCACAAAGTCTCCGCAATTAGTTTGGCCCATTTCAGAATTTGACTTATCCGCACAAGTCTCCGCACCAAACGCCACTCCGCACCAAACGCCACTCTTCTCAGACATTCACCCTAACTACGCTTCTTCATCTCCGCACCAAACGTCCGCTCTCCGCTTCTCAGACATTCACCCTAACTACGATTCTTCATCTCCGCACCAAACGGCCGCAGTTCCTACAATTTCACCAAAACTACAATTCTTCATCTCCACATTTCTCAGAATTTTACACAAAGTAGAATTCTTCAATACCTCAAACTCAGAATAATATCTTCACTACTATATATACAGATGAGGATCGATGCGGTTCATACTCTCGCTCCACACAAGGTATTTTGTAATTCTTCTTTTTCTATATTTATCGTTCACTTATTTCTGATAACTCGTGCCTGCCGTCCTGCTACCTGTGTTTACAGAAATCCAACCGACGAAAGGATAGTCGGAGACAGGCGAGGAGACTGGACTATTGCAACTGCCCGTGTGTGAATTCAAGGTATATATTCCAATTTTGTTTTTTGACGACTTTTGAGCTTGGATTGTTTATTTTTAAAGTTTGAATAAGAACATTTGAAAAATTCCTTTTAAGCTTTTCATTAGATGAATATATGATGAAACAGATTGTTTTGAGCTTGGGTTTTTAATTTTTAATGTTTTGAGTCTGCTTTAGCATCTATTAGATTGACTATTGCAACTGCCCGTGTGTGAATTCTATGATGAATATAATACACAAATTAAAGGAACTCATGTGATGTAATGAAAACAGATTGTTTTGAGCTTGGGTTTTTAATTTTTAATGTTTTGAGTCTGCTTTAGCATCTATTAGATTGACTATTGCAACTGCCCGTGTGTGAATTCTATGATGAATATAATACACAAATTAAAGGAACTCATGTGATGTAATGAAAACAGATTGTTTTGAACTTGGGTTTTTCATTAGATGAATATATGATGAAACAGATTGTTTTGAGCTTGGGTTTTTAATTTTTAATGTTTTGAGTCTGCTTTAGCATCTATTAGATTGACTATTGCAACTGCCCGTGTGTGAATTCTATGATGAATATAATACACAAATTAAAGGAACTCATGTGATGTAATGAAAACAGATTGTTTTGAGCTTGGGTTTTTAATTTTTAATGTTTTGAGTCTGCTTTAGCATCTATTAGATTGACTATTGCAACTGCCCGTGTGTGAATTCTATGATGAATATAATACACAAATTAAAGGAACTCATGTGATGTAATGAAAACAGATTGTTTTGAACTTGGGTTTTTCATTAGATGAATATATGATGAAACAGATTGTTTTGAGCTTGGGTTTTTAATTTTTAATGTTTTGAGTCTGCTTTAGCATCTATTAGATTGACTATTGCAACTGCCCGTGTGTGAATTCTATGATGAATATAATACACAAATTAAAGGAACTCATGTGATGTAATGAAAACAGATTGTTTTGAGCTTGGGTTTTTAATTTTTAATGTTTTGAGTCTGCTTTAGCATCTATTAGATTGACTATTGCAACTGCCCGTGTGTGAATTCTATGATGAATATAATACACAAATTAAAGGAACTCATGTGATGTAATGAAAACAGATTGTTTTGAACTTGGGTTTTTAATTTTTAATGTTTTGAGTCTGCTTTAGCATCTATTAGATTGAGCTGAAGTTTATCATTTTTAACTATGCTTTTCACTTCCCAGAATAAGAACTTTTGAGCTTGGGTTGTTTATTTTTAAAGTTTGAATAAGAACATTTGAAAAATTCCTTTTAAGCTTTTCATTAGATAGAACTACTACTTCAAAAAATGAAGTTCACTCACCATCCCATGCTAGAGAGTAGTATTTGACATTGTTTTGAATTTCTCTGATGAATATAATACACAAATAAAAGGAACTCATGTGATGTAATGAAAACAGATTGTTTTGAACTTGGGTTTTTAATTTTTAATGTTTTTAATCTTCTTTAGCATCTATTAGATTGAGCTGAAGTTTATCATTTTTAACTATGCTTTTCACTTCCCAGAATAAGAACTTTTGAGCTTGGGTTGTTTATTTTTAAAGTTTGAATAAGAACTGATGGAGTATATGGGTCTGAGCCCCCGGACCCACATACTCGGAACAGAAAGCACAAGATAACAGAGTGGCGCCCTCGTCGGCCAAGGCGCCCCCGTCGGCCGAAAAGGGGCCAACTCGGATTATGGTCCCGAGTCCAAGGAACCCGGGTGCCCTCGTCGGCCACGAAGACCTCCCAGAATCAGATTTTATACTTACTCATTTGTACGGCCCATTAGTGGCTTTGTATTCGGCCCAGTAGCGGTCCAGTTGTAAATGGGCCTCCCAAACCCAAGGCTTGGGAGCCCAACCCTAATTTTCTCTATAAATACTCCCTTTGGGAGTAGTTATAGGGGTTACAAATTCATTCTATTGAAGCATATTATCGCACTTCTCTCTCTAGCTCTCACTTCTCTCTAGATATACTCTATCATTTGGTGCTCTCGTTGAGAGGTAGAACAATCAAGTTAGCACCCTTCGTCGCTACCAAGCACAGCTAACCACTGATCATGGGGAGAACTAAGTCAAACCGCAACCTCGTCAGCAAAGCCATCCCTGAGGACCAAGAGCCCAGGGAGCACGATGAGGACGCCACGGCCGACCAGGTCGGCGGAGGGGACCTCTTCCAGGAGGCTTTCAACCTCACAACGGACCTCCGCAACCAACCTAACGGCGGCGGCCCTGATGCCCGCCTCGGCTTGGACAAGAAGCGAGCTGAGAAGACGGATCACGCCTCGGCCCAGCCTATGGCCGCGGCCTCTCCGTCCGTAGATCCACAGGTCCAGGCCGCGCTGTCGGTCATCATCGCCAGCCTGGCTCAGAATCCCACCGTCCTCAGCGCACTCTTGCCAAGGACCGGGGGAAACGTCACTCCACCTCCTCATCCCCAACCGTTGGCCGTCCAGATAGGCAACAATGAGGGGGTTGTGGCCCAGGACACGGCGTCGTCCCACTCCCACCCTGCTTCCCCTCTTCGGCCCGGGCAGACCCCAGCGCGTGGAAAAGCCTCTGCCTTCAATAGGCTAGGTGACACGCGCCGTCGTCCGGTTTCGGAGAGGATGGCGGGACGGATTGGTGATCCTCGTCCTGGCTCGCCAAGGGAAAGTTTGGGGTCTGTGTCCCGGACAGCGGACCAGCCCCGCCCGGACAAGGGCAAGGGGAAGTTGCATGAGGATGACGTGCGTCACCAGATCAACGCGGCTCACAACGACCGCCTGAGAAACCAGCCGGGCGCCGCCGCGGCCGATAGGGACCCCCGGGACGAGGTCATCGCACAGCTGGAAAGGAGGCTGGCTCAGATGGAGGCCAAGCAGTCGGCCAACATCCCTACGGCCGGCGCCTCCAATGACCCCGGCCTCAACGCGCTCATGAACAAAGTTAGCGCCCTGGAGAGGGAGCTGGCCGAAGGGCGGGGTGACCCCATCATCCAGGTCAGGACTAGGACCCCTTTCACCAACAGGGTCCTCTCGGCCCCCATCCCTGAGAAGTACGGGGGGAACGCCATCAAGTCCTACGATGGCCGATCAGACCCCCATGAGCACTTCAGCCGTTACCAGAACAACATGCTGATGGTGAACGCGTCCGACGAATACCTCTGTCGTTGGTTCCTCTCTACTCTCGAGGGGCCAGCATACGAGTGGTTCAACGGGCTCCTAGAAGGAAGCATCGACTCATGGCAGGATCTCGCCCAGCGCTTCCTCACTCACTTTGCTGGGAGGAAGCGCGCGAAGAAGTATTTCACCCACCTCCTCTCCGTCAAGCAGCAGCACGAGGAGTCCCTCCGGTCATTCATCGATCGGTGGACGAGGGAGACCGAGGAGGTCGAGGGGGCCGATGAGCGCACCCTCCTCGCCTTGTACCAGGGAGCCCTCCGCAGCTCCCCGTACGCTAGGAGCCTCATCAAAGAGGTTCAGCGACTGACGGGGCGCCTGGCGGCCTTAAACCGGTTCCTCTCCAGGTCAGCCGAGAGGGCACTCCCCTTCTTCCAGATCATGCGTAAAGCCAACAGCTTCAAGTGGACGACGGAATGCCAGGAGGCATTCGACGAATTGAAAAGGTACTTGTCGTCCCCACCCGTGCTCTCCAAGCCTAGAGCCGGCGAAACCCTCTTCTTGTACTTAGGGGTGAGCACGTCGGCCAACAGCTCCGTGCTCATCCGTGAGGACGAAGGGGTGCAGAAGGCCATCTTCTACATCAGCAAGACACTCAGGGAGGCCGAGCTCAGGTACTCCCCCATTGAGAAGACGGTGCTGGCCATCGTCCACACGGTGAAGAAGCTGGGGCACTACTTCCAGGCCCACGTCGTCCACGTACTGACCCAGCAGCCTCTCGGCGCACTCATGAGGAGCCCCACCAGCTCCTCAAGGATGGTGAAATGGGCGATCTTCCTCAGCCAGTTTCAGATTGAGATCAAGCCAAGGCCATCCATCAAAGGGCAAGCATTGGCCGACTTCATCATTGAATGCACAGCAAGGGAGACGGCCGTCGCCAACCCCGGGCCGGAGCCGGACGATACGTGGACCCTGTTCACTGACGGCTCATCGGCCGCGAAATCGTGCGGAGGTGGCGTCGTCCTCATATCCCCCGAAGGGTTCAGAGCTTACTATGCCATCCGCTTCAACTTCAGGGTATCCA